AAACCTCTCATAGATGCTGCATTTAAATATTAGCTAAAGGAAAGACTTTTTTAGGAGGAACGTCTGCTGTTCAGCCTTCATTCCTGCTTCAGGCACAGAATATAAGAAATACGTGAATGGAGGCTCTAAAAACATAGATCTACGCTTCATTATGTTCAATTAGATGAAAACGGTGAAAAAGCTTTTAGACAGCAGCAATATGCGGCTCATAGAGGGACGTATGAATCTATTACTGAATATCTATCCTTGAAAACCTGATTAGAACATTTTTTTTCTTTGGGATCAAAGATGATTTTCTTTATTGTTTTATAACATAACTAAATAAAAGTGAGACGTTATAAAAGCCCAAAGGGAAACTTTAAAGAAATAAATTCATATTCTCTCCATCGGATGGAAATGAGAAAATAAAGAACTGCTTTAGTTTTTCTGTTATTCTTTAAAACAAACTTTGAATTTAATAGTTTTAGACTGAAAAATAAAAGATGCAGGGATTCATTTCAGTTAGCGTACAGGCTAATTTAGCTGCTTAGCATCAAGCTATCTTTAATTTTTGTTTCTTTCTGTAATTTGAAACGAGCTAAAGTCAGTTTTTACAGTAACTTGTTCATCATAGTAACTGAATTCCTTTTTAAATGAAGTCACCAGAAACAGGAAGTAGTAAAGCTACGTTCAGAGCGTGCAGCAGGAGCGGCTAAAACACGCTGCTTCATTTCTGATGCTTTTAGTTTAGTTCTGACGCGCGGCTGAAGCATCTTAGCTGCTCTAGCTGCGCGGTGGTAAAGTGGGTCTGATGCGCGCTGAGAAAATAAAGAACTGCTTTAGTTTTTTTTGTTATTCTTTAAAACAAACTTTGAGTTTAATAGTTTTAGACTGAAAAATAAAAGATGCTGGGATTCATTTCAGTTAGCATACAGGCTAATTTAGCTGGTTAGCATCAAGCTAGCAGAGTTTCTTGTTTATTTCGGTAATTTGAAACGAGCTAAAGTCAGTTTTTAAAGTAACCTGTTCATCATAGTAACTGAATTCCTTTTTAAACGAAGTCACCAGAAACAAGAAGTAGTAAAGCTACGTTCATAGCGCACGCAGCAGGAGCAGCTAAAACACGCTGCTTCATTTCTGATGCTTGTACCAGTTTAGTTCTGATGTGCAGCTGAAGCATCTTTGCTGCTCTAGCTGCGCGGTGGTAAAGTGGGTCTGATGCTCGGTGGGCGTTAGAATCTATGTTGAAGTGAGAAAGTCCTCCTGAAAACATGGTCTGTGCAGTCAGTTCATCCAGATTACCATCCTGCCTTCAAAGACTAGATGCTGAAAACGCGCTGCGGGACCTTTGGCTGCGCCGTGATGCGCATCAACCGTTGACTTTGCATGTAAAGCAGCTGCTGCTGCAGCGTGCGTTCTGAACGTAGCATTATTCCGGCTAATTCCTCTGCTGTAAACAGAATCTCCGCCGTTTCCGGTCGTTTTCAGATGCAGTCGATCTTCTTCCATCTGACCTGCAGACTTGGTTCTGATGAGTTCTGATCCGTTTGTCTTGCAGGTGTCCAAACGGCTGAGCTCCTGGGTAAGAACTCGCCTCATCATCCCGCCTCACAGCTGACAGGAAGTTAAATCCATCCCAGAAGTTTTCCTCCAAATCAGGAAGAAATTAGTTCAATTTAAAGGTTTTTATTAATGGAGGAAATGCAAACTGACATTTAAATCTACGTAAACATTAAAGTAGAATAAATTTAACCATTTGTTATAATTTATATATTCTCTGCATAGGAAGTTTTAAGGCCATAATGAAAATATAAAGTTTTTGATTAAAGTGTAAAGTTGCAGCATAATATTATCCAAACATCAACCTGAGCTTTTTAATCCAGAGGAGGAAAAGTTACATCAAAGGAAGCAACGTCTTTAATCTCATATTTTACCACATTTTAACATTAAAACACATTAATTTCATGTCCTAATATTACAAATTTATTTTCGATATTTTATGACTTCTGTTATCTTATTCTCCTAATATTCTGACTTTAATCTCACTATATTTTTATCTGGTACTATTGAAGCTTTATCTAGTAACGCTATGATTTTATTCTTATTATTTCATAACTAGAATCTAATAAATGAACGTAGGGCATAATATTTTGATTTAAATCTCTGATAGAACTAACATTATGACTTTATTTTCATAATTTAGAAAAACAAGCATCTCTAATCTGGCTTTAAAACCTTAATACTTAAAAATATTCCGAATAGTACACAACTCAAAAGAAATAAAAGGAACACTTTGTAATCAGAGTATAGCATGAAGTTAGCATGAGGCGCTACCTGGACCCTACAGAGGTTGCACAGGCAGTCTAACTCCTCCAGGATGGCGCATCAATACCTG